TAGCTCACTGCTCATATATATATGTAGGTGTACAGGCACCAGACCGCAGCTAGAGGCGTCAGGGTTACTCCAGTTTTGTCAAGCCAGCCTTTGTGCCTCATTGCGAGGTTCCGAGCCTAACGTGTTAGGGCTTAGGGGTGTTTTATAACTCCCCCTTTTGTACTGTTTCACTGTTTTGTATAAACTGAATGTTTACTGTACTGTTACCTAGGGTTGAGTCCCTAGTCTGAATGATTGTAAATATTGTGCATACCGTTCTGTACTGTTTACGTATAAATGTATGAAAAGTCTTTTTGCATACAGACTGTCATAGCTCATTGGGCATTGTTTATTTACTGTTTTGGCTTCCGCCAGGCCCTGTACTCTGTTTTACTGTATTACTGTTCAGCAGGCCTTCGGTAATCTCGGATTACTGGCCGGTTACGGTGCTAAACCCATAGGGCCGGGTTTGGGTCGTGACACACGCAAACATGATATCATGTAACGCACACTTATTTCAAAAACGAGTTGGTCCCTTGACTATAGCAAATCATGATTGAAGTACTCCGAATGCTCGTTCAACGTTTTTTCGACATGTTTCTTACATCATTGCAAAGTGTTGTTTCTTCGGATCTTGAGGTTTAGAAATAGTTTGTATGAGAGTTGGCCACTTCGGATATATACTATCTGCTAGATAATAGCCAACACTAAACTCTATGCCATGGATGGTATAATAAGCAGGAAGACCTATACCTTGGGTGAGATTCGCAAACAAATTAGATGATTGCAAGACATTAATGTCGTTGTTGGAGCTCGGTAAGCCAAAATATGCATGCCAAATCCATAGGTCATGAGATGCCATTGCCTCAAGAATGATAGTTGGGGATCCACCAGGTCCAAAGTATTGTCTTGCCTAAGCTGTTGGGCAATTTTTCCAAGACCAATGCATACAATCAAGGCTCCCAAGCACCCCTGGGAAGCCCCATTCTTCACCTTTTTTTTAACAAACTTGCAATGTCATTGGAAATAGGTGATCTAAGGTATTTTTTGCCAAATACCTCAATAATTGCCGAACAAAACTTTTTAATTCATAAAATGGCAGTAGACTCACCAATTTGTATATATTCATCCGTAGAATTGGACGCCGTTCCATATGCCAACATTTGAAATGCACTTGTTACTTTTTACAAAGTAGACAATCCAAGTCTACCAAGACCATCCTTATTTTGAACAAATAAATCGTCGTGAGCTTTTATGGCATCAACAATCTGTAAATATAAACTTCTACGCATTCGAAATCTCCTGCGAAATAAATTTTCCTCATAGGTGGTGTTCTCTGAGAAGTAGTCATTCCATAATTGAGCATGACCTTCTTCCCTTTTACGATCTCTCACTATATATCTATGAACTGAACCTTTACGTACTAATTGATCATTTTTTTCAAGATATTGAGCTATGATGATGTTGTTGGAGGCATATAAATAAAGCAATATATTTTCTTCCTCTTCCCATGCTGCCATTTCTTCTTCATAATCAGGGAATGGTGGTAAATAAATATGCTCTACATCTATTTCTTCATGAATATACTCAGCATCCATTTATGTTTCAGAAGCTCTACAGTCATTTTCTTTGTTGCATGAGGGTTTGGTTTTTCTATAAAATAATAGATGGTAAGGAAAATAGATTGAGGGAAAATTGATGGTTAATTTTGGAGGGAAATATTTAGAGAAGAAAATGAAGGTTTGTGGTTGGAGTTTGAATGAATAGTGATATACTCTATATTTACTTTTTGAATAAAAAAATTTATTTTCATCCTCTTGGTGAGAGGATTAGGTTGGAGATGCTCTTAGGTCCTGTTTGGGAGAAGCGCTAAAATAGTTATAAAAAAAAAAAAAAAATCAGTATATCATTCTCACAATTTTATGTCTTTTTGTAGAATTTTAAAAAAAAAATTCCAAACACTTGTTATTAATCTAAACTATTTAATTTGTAAAAATGGTTGGGTAGATGATGGAGTTTAAGTCATTGCTGTGTAGCTTGCACAACAGTAACTGTTGTGCGGCTCATGAAAATTATTTCGGACTTTATGTTTACCATCTGAACTGTCCAATTTTTAAAGAATATCAAGTAGAAGATACTTGTAAAAATCAAGTTGATCGGATATCGATAGACCCTTCATCAACTCACATTTGTATTCAGTTTAATACTCATATATATATATATATATACAAATTCGAGTTGATGAAGAGTCTATCGATATTCGATCAACTTGATTGTTTATAGGTATATTCTACTCAATATTCTTTAAAAATTGAACGGTTCGGATGATGAAAATAAAGTCCGAAATAATTTTCATAAGCTGCATAACAGTCACTATTGTGTAAGTCGCACAGCAGTGACCCTGACCCGTAGATTATCCATAAAAAAATGTAATAATTCAAATTAAATTGATGCCCATACAATTAGCTTAGGCATAACAAAATAGAGGGTTTATTTTTAAATTTGTAATTACCATTTTTTTTTAATAGTAAATGTGTTTCAATTAGATAGCTTTCAATGTTTTATCAATTTAATTTTTTGCATGAATGACCAATGGAACTATTGTGCACCTCATGGAGTTTGTTTTGAGTCTTATCTTAATAATCTGAATTGTTCATTTTTTAAGAAATATCGAGTAAAATATATTTATAAAAAATTAAATTAATTATATATTAATAGTAACTTCATTAAATCATATCTGTTTTCAATTTTATACTTATAATCATATCTATAATTCATTTTTTTTTAATATCTACAAATATGATTTGATGAAGATATTATCAATGTTCGACTAATTTAATTTTTTACAAGTATTTTCTACTTAATATTTTTTTTAAAAATTAATTATTCAAATTATCAAAATAGACAAAAAAAAACAGACCCCATGAGGCCCAAAATCTATGCCCACTATACAACAGTGAACCATAATCCTACCTTTTAAATGGTTTAGATTTTAAAAATAAGTCCAAAGATGACAACCATGAAATTGAACTTACTGGGCAAGATGGACCCCAAGAAAATCATAAATTCATAATAGTGATACCATGTCTCCATTCAATCATAACTTTCTATATAAATGTATCCTAGTATGCATAAGTGTAAGATGGGTTAATTAATCAGTTGAATTATATAAGATAATTATATTTATATAATGAAATTCACTCAGCATTTTATTGTTGTAAAATACTATTACATATCAACGATGGCGTAGTTTCACCATTATACTAAAGTTTACTAAAAAATAACCTATTTGAAATATATAAAATATTGTTTAGTGCTGCTTTTAGATTCATTTGGTGCAATTTCTCACATTAAGAGTTGATAATTGAAAATTAATTTTTTTTAGCTTTCAAATAATTGATTTTTAATTTATTTAAATTATTTTTTATCTCCTAAGTTATAAATAAAATTTACACCAATCACTTGTTTACATACAAACACGACTTTATTATTATTATTATTTAAAAGAAAGAGTTATAAGCTATTCCTCTAAACTATACCAAACACGACCTTTTCAAGGCCTTTTATTTATTTATTTATTTATATTAAATTTCTTGACAATTAGGTGGCCTTTGTCACTACTATTTCAATTATTCACACGCGCACATATATATATATATATATATTAATAATCAGATGATTGGTGAAATGCAGATAACTAGTAGTAGTGATGGTGGTTGAAGTGGTAATGAAGAGGGGTGAGTGTAAATAAAATAAGAGTTTTTATTGTTCTTAAGATTTATGTAGATTTTGATAGTGATAGTAAGTGTAACATTACTCTTTAAGTATTGATAAGTTATAAATAAACTCTCTAAAGTATATAATAAATACATATATCCTCTTATATTTTGCAAAATACATTGTGTTTTAATGTTTTAAAATTGCATAATAGATAATTTACATGTCGGTCAATCATGAAATTAATCATTATGTTTTAAGTCTTTGATAATGTCAACAATTTTATTTTTGAAAATTTAAACTTTACTCAGAGTTGTCCATTTCAAATTTTTGTTTTTTTTTGTTTTTATATTTTACAAGAATGTTTAACTCACCATGATCACATTGCCTCCGTTGGGGAAGTGGGTTGGCCTTTTGGTTTTTTAGCTTTTGTGGCTATTTCAACCTAGGCTCAAAAGTTTGGTTTGAGAAGAGCTTTTTGGTTTTTTGACTTTTTTTTTAGAGAAAAGTATAATAATTATGGGTTAGATGTGATGTTTTGTCTGTTATGATTCAAATAACTTATTCTGTCTTTTGTGGCTCAAAGAGCCAAAAGAACCCAAATAAACTCTTCCTAAACGACACCATTATGAGTTTAGATGTCTCATTTGGATTATTACATGTTGTTGAAACTAATTATGTGTTGAGATTGATGATGATAAAAAGATGTGCTAATATTTATGGCCGATAACAGTAGAAAGAGAAGTAAATGATTAGTAGATGTTGATAAAGAGAGTGAGCAATTGGTCGACAATGATAAAAGTACAATGGCATAGTAATGGAGAGATAACAGTCGCCATTGACATGCTGCAGGGTATATATTGGTGCTAAGTGACTAGTGGTAAAATGAGAGAGAAAAAAAATAGGTTTAGTGAGGAAGGAAAAAAATAAGGATAATATAGGTATTTTATTTTATGAAATGTTAGAAAATTAGTTAAAATAATAAAAAAGTCACTAAAATTAGTCAACTTATTATTTTTATTTTTTTGTAATTTTTCTTTTTTTTTCAACAATGATAGGTGGTCCGAAAAATCATAACTCGAATGGTTCAAAACAGCCAAAACGACATCGTTTTGAATATAAAAGATGTCGTTTTGACACATTCGAGCCATTCGAACCATAAAAATTCAGGTCACCAAACATTTTATTTTATTTTATTTTTTTTCAACGGATTTAGTATTGAAGGGTAGTAGGGTAATTTTACTTTCTAATAGCGTACAAACGCAGGGGAATCTATATAATTTTACAAAAAAATCAGAGGGAAGAATCTATATTTGTGACCAGTTATTGGTAACGTTTGATAATCATTAATAAATTATTGGTATTTTCACAGTCTGTAGTATTCGAAGGTGAAGGAGGGAGCAATGGCTTGCTGTTCATTGAGTTTCCCGGCAACGACCAAAGCAAAGTATCCATCTCCATCATCATCATCAACATCATCGAATTCAGCTGTTTCTGCTACTGTCTCTCCATCTTCTTCTTCTTGTTTTTCAAGTTCAAAATCCATTTCACACTCACACTTGTTTCTATCTTCCTCACGCGGCATTTATTACCAACAAACCCTAGTCCGCCGGAGGCCTTCCTATTTCCAGGTGATATGATGATTTTGGGAGTTTTTGGAATTGGCTTCTCTCCGTCTATGTTTGGTAGCTGAGAATTTGAAAGGAAAATTTCTGCCCAATTTTCTCACCAACTAAACTGCAGAAAGCTACTGTTTTTCTCGATTTATTCTCGGTGACCAAACAGAGGCTGGCTTTGATTTATTTTTTATTTTTTGTGATTTGATCTTTGGCTTTCTTATTCTTGATGGGTTTTGGGCAGGTTGTGTCATCAGGGAATAAGCCAGAACCACCGAAGGTGATGATATCTGGGGCTCCTGCTTCAGGTAAAGGGACACAATGTCAGCTCATCACTAAGAAAGTATGTTATTCTTCTCCATATTCTCTCCCCTTGGTTCTGTGGAATGGGATAGAATGGAAAGGAAAAATGATCATTTATTTACAATTGTGAATGAAGTAATGTATTTTTTAGTATTCTTTTACTCCGTGTTTGGTTGAGGATTTGGAAACAGAAAATGAAAAAAGGTAGGTAAAATATAAATAAAATATACGTACATTTAACCTAATTTCACACGCCTTTTCCCTTTCCCATTTCAAATTTCTTTCCAAATCCCTTAACCAAACACAACGGTAGCAACCATTACGAGGGAATGATCATTCCATTCCGGTAAACCAAACAATACCTTAGTGTTATTGGAATTTGAATTGTAAATGCAACTATAATTGGAACTCAGCTGGATATGCAATTCCATCTCTCAGATCACATCTATTTGGACCTCACAAGGCGTATCATGATACCTAATGTTTTCTCTTGTTTGTCCATTTTGGTAAATGAATAATGAACTTAGGTTGTGCTTATACATTAATTGATTCATTCCTTTTGCATTCTCTTTGTTTGCCTATAGGACCTGTTATGGACTCTTCTATGTCCCCCAAAATACCCATGTCACCAAACTTGACAAGGGTAACGGTGTAGGATATGTGTCTGGCATTAGTACCCAATTTAGAAACTTGGATCTTTTAATTTTTTTATGAAATTTGTAGAGAAGAAACTCACATTGCTACTAAAGAAACATATCTAGCTTCTCACATGGATGAGATTGAAATTTCATATTTTTTCCAAATCCTACTCAATTTCAAGTACGTTTTTATGTAACTTACAACATCTCATATAATAATAATATACAACATGCAATATATATAAGCATTCATGACGTGTCCCCGTACTCATATCCCACTTTTGAATACATATCTTAGTATCCTAAGATTTAGATTTATGAAGTTTTGACTCTTTGATATGCACCTGCACATGATACTCATATTCGAGAACATGTAACATAGATGACCTGTGATTTTTTTATTTTTATAGATAAATTCATGCTCATACGCTTTGAACAATTTGTGTTCACTTCATCCCAGCCAAAGCCTACCCCTTTTGCCAAGTCCAATGGGGTATGTGCTAATCTCTCTCTTTGTTAATCAAAGCTCCATTTAACTTGTTGTGCAACTAACTGAACCCAAAGAGAGATTGTTTCAGGGACAATGTCAATGAAGGAATAAGATTATGTTAGATCATTTGATTTAGATCACTTAATTGGAATTCATCTAATTTCAAAAAATTCTTGAGGCTTTCCCTTGATATAAAGATAGAGACTCACAAAAATGAACACATTTGCTCAGGAAAGTGATAGATATCAATTCTTTGAGGTGGAAAGTTTTTGCTTTAAGAGGTTTGCACTAGAACATTGAAATATACATGCATGCCAAAATAGATTAAGGTTGTGTTTGGATAAAAGATTTGAGGAGTGATTTGTGGAGGAAAAGGAAAAAATGAATGAAATAGAAACTATAAACTTTTTTCACTTTTCCATTCCGTTCATAAATCCCTCATCAAATTCTTGATCCAAACACAACCTAACTAGATTTAAGGATGAGAAAATTGAGGACAAAAAAATATATTGTGTGCCTCGACATTTTCTTGACTTGATAAAAATTTGTGGGAAATGCTAATTTCCCCTTTAATAGATTCATGTTAGCATTCTTTCACGTGGCAATAGATGAACGAGAGCATTGTCCTCTAAGAAAAGAGTCTCTTTTGCCCCCTTCTATTTCAAATCTTTACAACTTCCTTGATTAATCAAACCCTAAACATGGAGGATTTGTGAATGAAGTTGTTTTCTGGTACCTTGTTTCTTCCCTCCTTTTCTTTTTGTCTTTTTTTTTTGATTTATTTGGTATACAATGTTGTACTCCTTAGAAGAGTATCCCGAGAATTACGGACAGTTCACTTAAATATGTTTAGATCGCTTTTTGACGTGGCAAATAGGACTATGGGAAGAGAGCCGGCGGTCAGCTCCGGCGAAGTTTGTTCCAGTGTACGAGGAGCAGAGGGCAAATATATCAAAGCTAAAGTGTCTGAACAAAAGGGTTAGCAGAGGTAAGAGAATCTGCAGAATTTGTAGGATAAAAGATTTGGAGTGTTTTATAAAAAATAGAAAGAATAGGAAGCAGTCAGTACCGGACCCCTCTTGCGTACCGGAAGTCAAGGACACTGACGGCCAGTGGATATAAGTGGAGTTATCGTGGTCATGCACCTTTTAAGGCGGCGTATGTTCGCCGACGGTACGTTCAGAATATTCCCCGATATATTAAGAAGACTAGGAGGGGAGTGAGGAAGTTGCAGCTGTATGATGAACAATTAAGGGACGTTAAATTTGATAATAAAGGTGTGGCGAGATTGCTTAATGGTATTAAGCTCGGTAATAAGAGATGTAACCGCCAATCAGACAAGATCGTAGTTAAGGGTATAAAATTAATTGAGAATGTTCAATTGGGACAAGATGCTAAAGACGAAGCCGTGGTCCATCACGTTTTGTTTTTTGTCATAAGTGATAATAATCCATCAGATTCTGTCCCCACACCTGATAAGATATTTATTGGAGTTGGCGAGAGTAATCCTGAGACTTGGATTGTTGATCCTGACCAGTCCGACCGGTTTCGGATGCTAAAGAAAATGAGATTCAAGCTCATTGATGGCAAGGACAAAGAGTACGTTCGTCACGAGATAGAAGTTGTGGACCGGTTCTTCCCAGTTGATGTTTGGACGGACTACAAAATGTTGGAAGTATGCAGAAGGGTGCCATATATTTAGTGCCTGCTACTGTTAGTGGAAAAGAATGCAAAATTACTTTAAGGAGTCAAATGTACTTTAAGGCTATTTAGAATTATAATTTATGTTTTTTTATTTGTAATGTTCAGGTTTTGAATGGAGGTGGACGATATAAAAACTGAGGTTGTTGAAGGTGTTTCAGCAAGTGATTTCAGTTGTATTGAACTTGCGTTGCCTAATTTATTTTCTCAATTGAGGTTAAGTTACAAACAAAAAAGTATTAAGGTTGATAAAATATTCACCCCTTTGCGCACCCAATGCCAATGGGTTGGCCAGAGTAAATGTTTATGATCGGAGGTTAGATGGTAATGACAGTCTGCAGGCGTGGTTTATTTTCTCGGTGGATTGTTAATGTGAGTTAGTCTATTATAGGAATGGTTATTGTTCAATTAATGACAAACATGTGCCATGGATGGTGAAGTATTGATTTGAAAATTCGAATATTAAAAGGGGGATTACGTATTGTAAAATGAAGGGGTATCTGTAGTATTCTATGAGTGACATGCCAGAAGATTCGCAAATGAGGGCCCCCTCTATTGTTGTGTTATCTAAAAAATATACTAATGATAATGTTGATGTTTGGCATTGTCCTCCAACGAAGGCCAATTCTGCAGATTCTCTTACCTCTGCTAACCCTTCTGTTCAGATACCTTAGCTTTGATATATTTGCCCTCTGCTCCTCGTACACTGGAACAAACTTCGCCGAAGTTGACCGCCGGCTCTCTTCCCACAGTCCTATTTGCCTAGACAAAAAGCAATCTACACACATTTGAGTGAACTGCCCGTAATTCTCGGGATACTCTTCTAAAGAGTACAACATTGTATACCAAATAAATCAAAAAAAAAAGACAGAAAGAAAAGGAGAGACGAAACAAGGTACTAGAAAACAATTTCACCACAATAGCTATCCCACTACAAAAGCATATTCCTCTCTGTCATAAAATATTTTCTGGTACCAAATATATAGCAAAACTGGCCCGCGTGTAAGGACGAAGATTCCCCATTCAAAATAATTCAAATACATTTATTCTTTGCTTTATGTCTATCATTCTGCAAGAATATTTTACTTTACAACCACGCAAACCACCAGAAAAGCAACATTTGTATAGCACTATCTGGCAAAGGAATCAAAAGTACTCACACCACTCACACCTGGGCCCGGGTGTAACTTCCTTTTAACCACATCCATACACGTGTCCATAAGTACAGCAATGGACGGCCCAGATCAGCAGGAGGGGGGGCACTGGTAATATTAATACAGTGCCCCCCCAGTCACACCACTCAAACCATTCACACTAGGTTTTTTAACTAATAGAGAGGCCTTAAACGGCTGGTGTGGGTTCACTGTTTACCACTATAAAATGCCTTGTCAAGCCTCTTTCCGTTTTTATGCCAAGAATGTTTTACTCACCTACCCACAATGCCCATGCCCAAAAGAACAATTCTTAGAACTCCTCCAATCCCTTCTCCAACTAGCCAGTCAGCCATACTACATCCTTGTCGCAAGAGAGTTCCACGAAGATGGAAACCCTCACCTTCATGCCATGGTTCAATGCACGAAGAAGATCAAAACCTCTAACCCAAGATTTTTCGATCTCATTGGAACCAACGGCAAAATCTATCATCCAAATATAGAAAAACTCCATTCGCCAACAGTAAGTCGACAGTATATACAGAACGGGGGCGAGTTCGTCGAATAGGGAGAATTTTCATCGAAGGGGAAAAGTCCTTTGAAAAACAGAGACGAACTCTGGAGGGGAATACTTGCAGAAGCAGAAACGGAGGAACAATTCTTTATACTCTGTAAAGAAAGATGTCCCACCGATTACGTAACAAAATACCCCAAATTAAAAATATTTTCGAGGGATCATTACAAAAGAGAGAGGCCCTCATATACTAGTCCCTTCAATTCATTTCCTTTCTTAAATGAAGAAGTAAAAAAATTGGCAGAAAATAATATTTTGTTTGTTAGTCGAAATTTCGTTTAATACGAGTTATGTCAAAATTGTTGTCTCTCCGTTTAGAGGGAAGATGAGTTCCTTAGATTAGGGATACACAAAAACAATATCAACTATTTATATACTGACGAAGAACTCTCCTCCTCCTCTGATAACAGGAACCAAAACAGCGGCCAATCTGCCCAGTCTCCCTCAACCTCGAAGGACCCTCAAGAACAGGCAAAACCGCCTGAGCCAGAAACCTCGGACGACACAATTACTTCTTCGGCAGAATAACTTTCAAGGACTACGATCAAAATGTCGTCTACAACGTCATAGACGACATCAAATACTCGACAGTCCCTACCGAATTAATGAAGAATTTAGTAGGTTGCCAAAGAGACTTCCATATATTTGTTAAATTCCAACCAGATCTCACTATTAGAGGAGGAATTCTATGTATTATATTAACTAATGGGGACAGTAGTTGGTTAGATGCAATTAGATTAGGGATACACAAAAACAATATCAACTATTTATATACTGACGAAGAACTCTCCTCCTCCTCTGATAACAGGAACCAAAACAGCGGCCAATCTGCCCAGTCTCCCTCAACCTCGAAGGACCCTCAAGAACAGGCAAAACCGCCTGAGCCAGAAGCCTCGAACAACACAATTACTTCTTCGGCAGAATAACTTTCAAGGACTACGATCAAAACGTCGTCTACAACGTCATAGACGACATCAAATACTCGACAGTCCCTACCGAATTAATGAAGAATTTAGTAGGTTGCCAAAGAGACTTCCAGATATTTGTTAGATTCCAACCAGATCTCACTATTAGAGGAGTTTTATTTACTTGCTACATTTCCCTTATTATCAACTATTACATCTTGAGTCACATTACTATTTTTTACACTGAAGATTACATTTCGTAAAACATTAGAAAATTTCAGATTGTGATGAGTATCCAGCATTGGTGCCTGCAGAGAAAGGGTCCTTGAAATGGGGAATGGTGCAGAAAGCAAATAGCTACCCCTACCCCTAAAATGCTTTTGAAGTTTAGTTTAGTCTAGGACTCTATGGACAATCGTCTTCTGCAGTTTGCAGAGGATGCTAATTTCACTCTGTTACAGGGCCCATTAGCTGATGAAAAAATTATCAAATAAAAGTTATTGCATTATTAGTATTCCTTATTGATAAACATATGAATTTTATTGGTAGTTTCTGTTTTTAAATTATGTTTTGCCTTGATGAGATGAAAGACATAAAACTTTCTTCTTGTTACTAGATTTAATTTAACATATTTCAGTACAAAAAGAATCCATGTTTTGGATTTTTCAATCTGTGTAGTAAGTTTTACATTTTTACCCTTGTTTTAATGTAACTTGGTTGGAATGTTTGTTAGCTGATGAGTCGATTGGCCATCTTTTCCTATAAGGCCCACTTTTAATTTCAGGCAAGACTTTCCTTTGTACTCGAAGGTTATTTGTGCTCCAGTTTTACCACCAAAGTTGTACGTGAAAAGTATATTTTAAATTTTTAATTAAATTGATTAGCAACGTTTTCTTGATGCTCTGCTTTGAAGTTGTTAATGTGTGCTTTCTTGGCGACATTATTTCTCTGTCTGTTGAGTTGCTGGTCTTATTGGCCCATGAAGAAAAGCTGATTGAATCAAGTCATCTTCATATATGCAGTATGGTCTGGTGCATATTGCGGCTGGAGATTTACTGAGGGCAGAAATTTCATCTGGGAGTGAAATGGGGAAGCAAGCAAAGGAATACATGGAAAAAGGACAATTGGTCCCTAACGAAATAGTTGTCATGGTAGGTTTGGTGTTCTTTATTTTGCAGTATTATTTGCTCTTTCAAATGTAAATCCTTGACTTCCTATAGATCATGTAGATGGTGAAGGAACGCCTTTCACAACCAGATTCTCAAGAAAATGGATGGCTTTTGGATGGGTACCCAAGGAGCTTATCTCAAGCAGTATATTATTGATTGATGTATTACAAGATTGATTTTTTTGTGTTATGTATTACAACTCCTATATATAGAAGAGAAGGTGGTAGTAGGTGTAGTGTAGTGGAGGTGGTAGGTGAGGTGGGTGCTAGTGGAGATGGTAGGTGGAGGAGCAAATTGGTAAATTCTAACAGTGTGGCTATTGTGTAGACTTGAAACTATCTTTATAGTCCATGAAGGCTTATCTTGCTTGCACAAGTATTAGTTTGTGATGTCAGCATTCAATTATCTCTGGCCCTTATTTAGTTGTCCTACTGTTAATAAGTTTTTTTGGCTTTACCTTCTGTAATTCGACCTAAGCATTCGCCTCTATGTTTGCAGGTCCCCGAGGATAATCTTGTTGAGCGAGTGGTTGGGCGTAGGTTAGATCCTGTTACTGGTAGGATATACCACTTGAAGTATTCTCCACCAGAGACTGAAGAAATTGCTTCTAGGCTTACCCAACGCTTTGACGACACAGAAGAAAAGGTAATTTCAAAATTTTCTTTTACGTGGCTTGAATACTTGCACTTTGAAGAACTCATAGTGTTCTTTGACTAAGGTTTCCATTTTTATTGATGGTTCACCTTCTATATCATCAACAATTTTGTTTTGTCCCATATTGGCCTTATTTAGGTAAAGTTGCGATTGCAAACTCATCATCAAAATGTGGAGTCGGTGCTTTCAATGTTTGAGGACGTAACTGTCAAGGTATGTGATATACTCTTTCAGCCTCCCCTTATTGTGTGTATGTGTGTGAATCAGGATTGCATATAAAAATGCAAATGAAACCTCGATACCTGAAAAGAAATAAAGGAAAATCAATGAAAAAATCGTTCATAACATGAATATATTAATGAAAATTACTTGGAGCTGCAACTGATATTGTTGCTAGCTCTTTTATGTGTTTGCATAATTTATCAACTAGCTTACATCGTCTACCATCTTAGTAGCTTATCACCTACCCTCGCCCCCCCCCCTCTCTCTCTCTCTCACACACACACACACACACATACACACACATTTGTGTATGTGCTTGTGCCATACCGCACCTGCATAGTATTGTCCACATTTGTGTCGTCTAGTGTGCCCATTCACACCAAAAGTGGCGTACATAGGAGTAGGGATGTAAGAAAAGCCGACCAAATCAGCTATATTTGGTCTGTTTTTAAATAAGAATCAGTTTATGCGGATTTCAAATTTGATTTTTTTCAGTTTTCGTTTTGGTATTGGTTTAAGCACCTTGTGCAACGAACTAAACCAAAACTGACTGTTTCAACATATATTGTATTTGTAATTTTTTTCAGGTTTCGTTTTGGTATCGGTTCAAGCATCTTGTGCACCGAACTAAACCAAAACTGACTGCTTCAACATATATTGTATTTGTAATATATATAATCTAATAATATAATGATATTAATAAGTATAATAAATTATTAACCTTAATTAATTAACTTTATCATCTTTATAACTTGAGTTTGTAAACTCTTATTATATATAATTCACTCATTATTCTTGAAATCTTAATATTTTTAAACTTTTTTTTTGTTTTTATTTTTGTTAATCTAGGAATTAAAAAGTATTTATTAAATGGATGGATTGGATATGTTTAAAATGGTAGACAAATAACTAATTTAATGTTTTTATATAGATTAGTGATTATATTTAAAAGTGGCTTAAGTTTGAAAGGTCCTAGATCGATTAACTGAACCGAACCGTTTCAATTGGTTCGGTGCTGTGCGGTGCAGTGCAGTTTGATGGGAAAAGCGGTCTGTATTGGTGTTTAAAATAATAAAACCAACATTATTGGTTTGGTGGAATTTTTTTACCTAAATACTGACCGGACTGGTCCGGTCCGGACCAAACCAAACCGATTACATCCCTACACAGGGGGGTAGCTATATTAACCCAGATACGGACATTCTTCCAAGCAATGTGAACTCTACCCATCTCATCTCTACCTATATTGGTGGACAAAATACTATACAGGTGGGGTTGGGGTATGACAAATGGCATCGGAGTGAGGACATTCTGGTCTTCAAGTGGTGGTGGCTGCTTATGGTCTTCTCTTAGAGGGTAGAGGCCTCTAGAGTTTCCAGTTATGGGGAGTTGGGAGATGGTATAGAGTCAACCTTGTTTGGGAGAGCTTCTGAATTTGGGCTAATATAGCTCTCCAAAAGTTTTTTTTTTTTTTTTTGGGAATTGCTGATATATGTATGGAATATCAACGATCTCTGGGTTCAACAGAGTGTCATGAAATGTTGGTCTGAGCTGTCTTAACTGTGCACATGTATACATTTGAGTATTATTATCCTGTGCAGTTTTTGAATTAGCCACACAAGGATATAACTTGTTCAGTTCACTTTGATCCTCTTCTGTTGTTATAGCCTGAGTGTTTCTGAGAACTTGTTGATTTTATAAGTTTAGTGACACTTCACATCTGTCTGCAGCCTCACTGTTCAGCTATGAATCATTTCCACTTGGTCAAGGGTTAAAGGATGGTCACTCTCTAATAACTAATCACTGAGAAAACACTTTCATGTCTCTTCTTCCTATTGATGAAGTTTTTTTTTTTTTCCATCAAATAATTATTTTAGAAATCAGAAGGTGATATTTTTATTGCATGGTTGGAATAATTTTAGCTAATAGACAAAAAACAACAAAAAAATCTCACTTCGGCAACATGTTTTTAAGCCATCTCTGTGTGTGTGTGTGTTTTCCTGAGTGTATTGTGATCTTTGGTGTTTTTTTTTTTTTAATGACTGTTCTTCCTGAAATCTAAGTTGGATTGCCATTGTTTGTTTCAGGTGAATGGAAATGTATCCAAGGAGGAAGTATTTGCACAAATTGACAGTGCGTTGACACAACTTCTTGAGCAAAAGCAGGCTACTTTGGGATCTATGGCAGCTTGAAGATAAGAGCATATAAAAGAGATACAATACCTTTCTTTGCCTTTTGGCTAAGATTAAACAGAATAAAATGATGTGGAAGAACCTGGAAATTAGCATGATAGATCATGCCTTCCCTATTAGATCAAATTGGTGGAGATGAGACTATGCATAGACAAATTATAACTAGATGTATTAATGCTTTTCGGTATTTGTGCTTTGTTTTTCATTTTTTCTCATTCTCCGAAAAAAAAAAAAAAAAAAAATTATGTTTCCTTACACTAGCAATATCACATGTTGTTGTCGTTCTTACTTTTTGAATCAAAGTTGTAAAGGCTGTGATTGGAAGTAGCTGTGTTGGGTAATTTTACTTTTGACTGTTGCTAGATTAGTTGCTGCTGTCCTTTCAGTTGCTATAATTGTCATTGGGTTCGATTATATTGAAGAATTTAAGTAAGACCTTATTCCTTGTCCCTTTTTATGTTTACTTAATTATATGTTAATTTTCTATCTAATTGCCACTATACTACTGACCTTTAATGTCCATTTTGTTGCTGCAGCCGTTAACAATTTCATTCTACTGTAGAATAGTGCATGCAACCGCCCTTTACTTACGGTAAATGCGTAAGCTTTAATGTTTCCATCCATGTTACATGTGACGCTTTTCGTTTTATGATGTGATGATTAATCTACTTCTTATTAATATATATAGATTGTTATTGTATCGTATAAATTACATGTATTATTAAACTTTCGATCTTATAAATAAATATCTAATGAGGTACCTTATATGTCATTCATTACATCAATACAATTATGATACAAAAATTTAGTAATCACAACATATCTCTGATTTTGAAAGTAGTTGTGCTTCCATAGCTACTCAGAAACTCTCTTTTTTTTTGTCCTTTTCCTTTGTTGACTCCTTCCAACAAATCTAACCATTTCAAAATACTGTCTTTATGAGTTTGGTGGATGTTGATGATTGATAGTAAAAGTCTCTGTTACAAAGTGTTTCTATGTGAATCCTTATAAAAGTATTTAGAGGCAAGTGTTGAAAAAGCTATCCCAATAACTATAGTTGGTGATCTAACAAATCTTGGATTTCAAATATATTTTCTTTTGACTTTGAACTTGGGGAATGAAGAAAGAATATCAACTCTCCATGTGAAGTCAAAAAAGACTTTCTTATTATGTTTTTGGTACGTTGGAGGCTGTAACTTGGAAAAAATGGGAGTTGAATCCTTGACTTTTTAATTGGGTTTCAGAGTTCTAAAAATGTGCAATGAAGGCAAATGCAAATGTGTGAGTTGTGCTACACAATTTTGTTTTTTTTTTTTTTTTGGTAGTGGTAATTATCATAGATATAGGGCTGTTTGGGGTAACCCTTTTTCTGCTTCATTTTTTTAATAACCTATTTGAATTACTTCTACGTAATAAAATTTTAGAATAAGCTATATCGAATAATCTGATATAGATTTTCAAAATAAAAGAAAATTATAACAACCCTATAAGCTGTACCAAATAGGATTACGAACAAGTTGAATCTCAATTCAACAATATTGGAATTAAATTAAAAATCAAAATTTTCTATTTGGAATGAATTGGACTATACAATTAATTGGCATCCAACTTAATGTACGTTTACGTTGAAGACCTAGTACTTGACCGGGATAGAGACAAGTTTGGAGGAGTTGCCAAACAGGCAGCCAAAGCTGCTTCTAATCTATTTACAACATATGACATGGTTGGCCGATATCTAGCTTGTGGCTTCACACAATCAACGGCCAGATAACCAACATGTGCAACTGCTTCTATCTCATATGGCGTTGGTGGTGGCACATTTGGGTCCAAAACCCGATGTATTTCGTCTTGAACTATGTACGGGACCATGAAATCCACAACGTTCCTCGGCACCCCATTCTCATTCCGATGAATTGCGTTGTACCCTGATAGCAATTCCAACATTACTACTCCAAAGCTGTACACGTCACTCTTTGCCGTTAATTGTTGTAACTTGTAGTATTCTGGGTCTATGTACCCTACGGTCCCTGCAGCGGGAGAGGTGTGACTCGTCGTCAGATGGACCCATTAGGGAGAGTCCGAAATCGGACACCTTTGCTGTCCACGTGTCGTCGAGTAATATGTTGGATGACTTGATGTCTCGGTGGATGATTGGAGGGACTGCATACATGTGTAGGTACTCGATTCCTCTTGCTGCATCTAGTGCTATCTTGATACGTGCAGCCCATGTTGAAATCAAGGTTGAGTTCAAGCTCATGCTCAAGCTCCTCAAGGGGGTACGAGTGTCGTGCTTGTGGAGATGGTCGTGGAGTGTGCCATTATTCATGTACTCATAAACCAGTATGAGCTCATTATTGTCTTCACAATACCCCAATAGCCTCACGAGGTTTTTGTGATTGAGGCGAGACAAAAATTCAAGCTCGTTGAGAAATGCAGTGTCCTTGTCCTCTTGGCGTTTGGAGCGGCCTACATGTGATGGGCACAAGGATGTTTCAGCTCGCTTGATGGCCACTTGGCGCTTATCATGTAATGTGGCATGGTAGACTGAGCCAAAGCTACCGGTGCCAATCTTGTGATCATCCGAGAAGTTGTTAGTGGCTTGATGGAGCTCTTGCAAAGAGAATTCTTCCAAGTGATCACCCCCATTTCCCATACTAATCGTTTGGCTCAACCGCTTTTCTAGAACACATACAGGTAGAGCTTGAGTCTGAGTCTGAATCTGAGTTTGAGATTGAGCTTCAGATTGAGGATGAGAAGGGGCTGTCCCTTCCTCATCATCCAAAGGCCCCGAATCATGAATGCGGCTTCCCCTAACTTGGCAATACCTGAAAAATAAGAAACAACATACCATTACCAATGAAACGGACCCGACACATCCTACCACTAGGAAAGCCACCATTTTCTTATTCCAACCACCACTGGTCCCCTCCTGAGGTGGTGGTTGTGGCAAAATGGGCGATGGTGGTAGTGGCAGTGGCGGAGATGATGAACTTCGTCCCCCGACTACACAAGGCTTGCAGATCTGTAGTCCTTGGCCACAAAAAGTGCCGTAATCAGGCAGAGGACTGCTACAAGGGCGGCACTTACTTGTACAAGGACCCGGCACCACATTCTGGAACACCATTGAATTTGAATCAAAAACCTCGGTGCCCCAACAGTGCAAGGAATAATCAGACGACACTATTCCACAGAAAACCCGTTGTTTCGCTTCAATTGCAACGAAACTAATGTTTCTCAAACTTTCCGGTAAACTGAAATTATTTTCCCCCCAACAAATTACTGTTCCATTGGATGCCTGCATGGCACAACTCCGGTTCTCTCCCAACGCCAATGACGAAAAATCGCCTTGCAATGGCTTCTCACCCACCATCTCTCCCCAACACTCCAAACTACCATTACTCAAAGAAATGGCACAAGCGTGGTGGAAACCTGCTGCAATCACACTATAATTACCGTCAGGCTCGTGGCCAATCACACTAGCATTGTTGTTGCCATTGTTTTGATTTTGGATACACTTGATACGTCCGAATTCCAGTAACCCACAAACAAAATCTTCTCCAATAGCTATATTCGAGAAATTAAAACCAGTAGAATTGAATCCCTTCCACTGCCAGCACTCGAGGCTGAGTCTGTCATTAGTAGTAGTCTCATTATCATTAACAAGTCCACAAATGTGGGAGTTTCCGGCATCAAGCTCTTTGATAGAGGCATGTCTGCTGTGGTATATCCTTTTATACTGGGTGGTGTTGTTAGTGTTGGAGAATCTCCAGCAGCCCATAACTGAAGTGGAGGAGGAGGGTGGTGGTGGTGACCATAGGCTGCAAAGGAATCCATTTCCGGCAACGATTCCAGAAAGCGATGTGTTGTTGTTGTTGGCGGTGAAGGGAGAGAGAGAAGTTTGAGTTCCGGGAGCGGGGAAGTTAGTACAGTTGAGGAATGAGGAGGAGGCGGAATGGATTGATGCACAGATGACTGTGAGGTTACCGGTTTCGGATATGGCAACGGTGGAGAGTGAAGAAATGGAGAATGGGAAACAAGAAAGGAACAAGAAGGTTATAGTGAGGAGGAGAGAGAAGGTTTTTCTATGAAGAAGAAGAAGAAGAGGAGCCATATAGGATGAGTTTAAAAGAATGTAGTTTCATGGTTTTAGAGAGAGAATCCAAAGAAGGTGAAGAGGAAGATGATGATATTAAGGTTGTGTTTGTTTGGTGTGTTTGAAGACAAATCTAACGCGGTTTGAGAGAAAAAGAGAGAGAGAAAAAGAAAGGCAGAGAGTGAGAGGACCAAAGACCAAGTCATTTGAAAAGTTTTTTCAATATAATCTAGAGCGTGTCAGAGTTAAAAAATCTAGAGCGTGTGTGTGTGGTCAATTCTCAAATGAGTAGAAAAGCTCAATGTGCGACCGAGACAAACTAAAAACATTTATTTATTTTTTATGCCCATAACACTCTTAAGTTAGGATTATTAGGATCCACTCTTACAAGTTAAAGTAAGAGAAATTAGTCGATCTATTTAAATCGTTGAAATTTCACTTAAATAGTAGAGGATTCGAACTTTGATCAATAAGGACAAGAGCAAACTCTCTTACAAACGGCCACTTAGTGATAATTACCACTATATATAACAAGGTAATGTTTGTTTGAACGGATTAGATAAGGAAAGATTATAATTTATTGAATTGTTAATTTTTATCTTTGAACTATGTGGTTGGATAGGATATTTATTACATGTTTGTTTAGTAATAAGATTAGATGTAAGGAAATGACTATTCCATTGAATCTTATGTTTGTTTGAAATATTATAAAGAAATATAAATGTTCAAAAAATAATTTTGTCTTTTTAAATTATTTACTAAATAATGTCAATATTAAACGTATCTTTAATATTTTAATTTTTGGGGGCTAAATTAAATAAAATTGTTTTTTTAAAAAATAAATAAATGTAATATCAATAAAAATTTGTGTTAATTTTTAAAATAAAATTTTAAATAAATTTATTTTAAAAAATAATTATTATTAAATAAAACATCAATAAAAATTTAAAATAAAAATCAATAAAACATCTAATTTATTTTAAAAAATTAAATAAATAAAATATCAATAAAATTAAATAAAATTATTTTATTTTTAAATTGAGATATTTAAATTTTATTTAATTTTATTAAATATAATACATAATTAAATCAAATACTTTGAGGGCAAATATGTCATTTTATCATTTAATCCCATGAGATAGTTATCTCACCAATTCTAGCTCATACCCCACTAGGATATGCAATAGTCCCACACATGTGGGATTGATAGTTCAATCGAATTCCAAATCTGACTTACGAGTTTGTACCCAAATAATGGACTCCATGATCTAATGGACATGGTGTCCAATCCCCTCTACACTCCCTCCAAACAAATACACCAGTAAAGGCGAGGATTATTATATTTATATTTTGTATTTAGTTTATTATCTTATTTGTTATAATTGTGTATCATTTTTTTTTTCACTTTAGCTATATTTCATATTATGTGGATGTTAATATGGTATTTTCCAATTTAATTTTGGACAAAAGTCAACTTAAGGAATCAATTTATTAAAAAAAAAGAAAAATCTTAAAACATGATAGATCAAGGTAGGAAAAAAAAATTTAAGAATCAAAATAAATAAATAAATAAATAAATAAAAATACTAACATAAGGAGATAAAGTGTAATTTATCCTAATGGCATTGATTGAATGAGTCTCACTTACTCATGTGTTATTTGGCAAGATGATTGAGACTAATTTAGTTCATTAAAAAATAAAATAAATTAAAAAGTTAATAAAACAAAATGTCACATTTAAACTATAATTATTTTTCTTGTTCTGTTATAAAACTATACAACGGTAAAACTTCATTGCAAACGAAGTTTTTTAACCATATTAAAATAATCAAAAAATTAAAAACTTAAGACTAACAAAGTTGTTCTTAAACAAAGGCTTACTAATATAGTAATAACATATTAGATGACAAACCAAATGGAGTATGTAAAACTGTGAACTCAGACACATTCAATGAGAATATCACCTTTTTTACTAGTATAATAATAACAAATTAGATGACAAACCAAATGGAGTAAAACTGTGACCTCAGACACATTGAATGAGTCTATATATAAAACGTATGTAAACCTTTCATTTATATTTCTATTTAATAATTCTAAATATATAAATATAATATAATATTATTATAACATTATTGCAACTATAGACAATTCATCACAAGCAATTCGTTTTAACTTTTTGGGTGGAATAAAAGTATTACCAACTGATGACGTGGAGTGCCACATAAGCACAGGTAGGCCCACTAAATAATAGTAAATAATAAAGAAGACCCCAAAAAAATAATAAATAAAAAAACTTTACAATCGTCGTCAAACTCACCTCACCCACACTTTTTTCTCACGCAAATCCATTCATCTCCTTCTTCCTCTACGACTTGATCCTTGGGTTTAATAGTGTTACTGGTAAAGATAGTGACACTATTAAACCCGTGAAATCAAATTTTGAGTTACTATTTTATTTTTATAATTGTCTAATCACAAAATCAAATATTAAAACTTGGGTTAAATTTGAATACTTATATATTTAAATATCAGTCAAAAAGATAAAAATTATTATAAAATTTAAAAAGATAAAATATAGTATTGCTTTTTATATTTTAACAGTTCACGCAAGAAAAAAAAAAATATTTCACAAAAATCTAGAGTTATAATATCAAGAAAAAATATCACTTTAAACATTGTTGTTCCTAAATTTCTAGTTGGAAAATTCAATGAAGTCCTCTTGAATCCAATCCACAATTCAACGAGGAATAATCAATTCAAATTTTAGATATTTTAATTTTTAATTAAAGTTAAATATAATTGAAGTAGAACTTGAAATAATACAAAATCTGAAGTTATGTAGAGGTAACACTTACACCAACAAAAATTCAATCTTAGAATAGTGAAATGAGTTGGAGAGAAGTTTTGGTAACATAAAATCATGGGTAAATTATACTGACACCTCCTAGGGTTTGATACAATTATATTTCACCCATTGACGTTATTGAAATTACATTTTCACCCTTATGGTTAATAGTCTGATTTCACAAACCCCCTACTTATATAAAAGGTAACAACTCCTGGTAAAAAATAAATGAAATTACATTTAAAAAAAAAAGTAAAACAAATGAAAGAAAGAAAGAAAAAGAGTAAAGCAAAGCAAGAAAAGAAAGAATACATAAATTCAATGTCTTTTTGATACCAACGTTATTCTGTCTAAATAATTACAATCACAAAGGGGTCAGTGTAATTTCTCAAATGTCAAGGAGTGATATGTATTAAATCTAAATTTCAAGAGGTATAAGTGTAATTTACCCTAAAATCATTTATTTTGATCCCTTCACTAATAAAAATAGTTTTGTTGTTGGGTTTGATATCAAGTGTTGTTTTTAGTTGGGTCTTTAGTAAGGTAAAATCAAAGTAATTCGGCTCCTCTACTAATAAAAATAATTGTATTTTTGTGTTTGGTGTTGAAGACTGGAGTTAGATAGGCTTTAGTAAGTTAAAATTTAAATAATTGGATTCTATTTAGGTGTCATTTGGGAAGAAGATTAAAAGCTGCGTTTTGCAGCTTGTCAAAAAAGTTAAAAGTTGATTTTTTTGACATTAAAATTATTTGGGAAGATAGCTAAAATCTACTTATGAAATTACAGTTATACTCTTCATGTTTACATTTGTGGGCTATGGCAAATTCCTTTGGATGGGGGTATTTTGATCATTTGAAGGTGATGTGACAGCATAAACAAATATTAACAAAAAAGGTCAAAAATTAACTTTTTACCAATTTCCCAAATGACTTTCTAAAAAAGCTAAAAAACTTAAAAATCGAAAAACAACTTTTAACTATTTTCTCAAAACACCCCTTACTTGAAGTCTAAAAAGAAAAAATATGTGTTCACTTTAAGGAATTTTCCTAAACAGTGATGTTAGGTAGCCCTAATTTTTGTGGCTCAACTTGGTTCAAATGACGTGGCTTGATTATGTGGCGATGATGTGGAAAATTATTATATATATATATATGTATTTATTTATTATCTTTATTTTTATTTTTATTTTTATTTTTTTAGGATACGAAATCTAGTTGTTCTTGATAATATACGATTTCTTGAGATATTTTATCAACTCTTTTTCTTGTAATTTCTATATCTTTAGCAGTATCAGTATTTAGTTGATTTTGTAAAAATTTACGACATTGGTGACAATTTGCTATTAATATTATTACTTGATTGCGATCTAACAACATGTCTTGGATATAAAAATGGTGATAAAAACTCACAAAAAGGAAAAAAGTTTTAAATGTTTTGATTATAGGCCCACTATGCTTCTAAAATAAGAACAGTATCTAAAGATTTTGACTGTTACCTGAACATAGTGAGCGTAGGGCTCTAGCGTTAGCAAGCTTCTAGTTTATAGAGGTAACTACCCTCAACCTTCACTTCCTTAGAACAAATCTATTTCGTTTTCTACCTCAGACCGTAACTTTAGAAATTGCTTCTTTTGTTATGTAGGAGACCTAAGATCAACAATTTCACATACAGTAATAACACTCTTTTCTAAAAATGAAAAACTTTTTATTTATTGAACAAAGATTTACAAAGAAAGGAGTGTCCGTAGACTGTTGGATTGCTAAAATACTGTTTGCTCTAAGAAGGCTTGAGAACTAGACTTCTTTTTTAGTGTCAAGTATACTCTAAGTGATCTATCCCCTTTTTCTTTCCCTCAAGGCCTTTATATTGGCACCTTGTGGACTTCTAAGTCCAGATTTCAACTTGTTCTATAAATATATAATATTTTTATGCATTATATTTTATTGTTACTAGAAAATAAACAAGAGACAAACAAGCAGGTGGTATGACTACATACTAATTTATTTATTTACAAGAGACACCTTGTGGGATAGTCACATGGAAGTGTAGCCTTCTGCCCATGATTTTGTCAATCCATTGCATTGTCTAGATTCCACACCCCTTCATAACTCATGATATTACTAAGATCATAGTTCTCATCATACTTGTCACGACCCAAACTCGACACCCAAAGGCTTGGCATCGCAACAAGATAAAAATAAAATAATTCTAAAATTACTGTAATAGTAGTGCAACGGATAAATTAAATAAATTAAAATAAAAT